AATCCATCCTTGTGGGTCGGTTGGTGCTATCACACTGTCTCTGAGTGCACAGCCTTTCATTACCACTCTCTGTATGATGGCTCTTTTCAAAAGAGTGCTCTCTTTTCTTTACCACATTCCCACGTGTATGTTGGTGGGGGCACTTGCACAGAGCTTGCTGCTCTGGTACAGGAGAGTTCTGGGTGAAGGTCAATTTGTGCCGCTAAACAACCCTTGATAAAAGCGGCCCTCGGTGGTCTCCTTCTGAGAGTTTCACACCCACCTCCTTCACTCAGTGATCTTGCTAATCTTCCCATGTGGGACTGCACAGAAGCCACGATGATGAAAACAAGGTTGCACTTACCTGTAACTGTTGTTCATCGAGTGGTCTTCTGTGCAGGCACACATCCCTCCCTCCTGCCCCGCTGTGAACTCTCTGGAACTTTAGTTTTCTAGGGGTCTCCGGTGGCGGCATGGAGAGAACTGAGGGAGTAGTGCCCCTCCTCCTGGTCATGTGAGCGTTTTGGCGGGAAAGCGCCAGAGGGAGATGGGGCACTCCTAGTCTATTAGAAAGCTTGCAAATCTTTTCCGTGGCTGGCCTGCGCAGATCCCATGTGTGCCTGCACAGAAGACCACTCAATGAACAACAGTTACAGGTAAGTGCAACCTTGTTTTGCTGAATTTATTCAGGTCCATACCTTCCCTTCCCTCATGCCTTAGCAACTGAAGGGAATGCATTTAAAGAGACCATGGTCTCTTTAAATATCTTCCCTTCCCTTGCTGAGGTGTGCACATGACTTGGGGAGGGAAGAGAAGACACACACTTGGGTTGGCTTTGCAAAGGCAAGCAGCACGCAAGGAACCCAGGAGTGTGAGTTCACCCGGAAAGTGGGTGAAATTGTGCCTCTTCGGTGAAATTGTGTCAGAACCCACAGCCAACAACGGAGTACACAGTTCTTTAGAAAGGTTATACTTTTATTGAAGAGCCATAGATGCATTAACATAGTCACTGTTAAGGATAGCAGTTACCACTTGAAACTAATAAGATATAGGGCATTCATATGCACCCCCCACTGCGCTGGCCAATTAGGCAACCTCCCGCACGCGGGCTAGAGCCAGCAAGCGTTACTATGCGAAGGTGGGAATTGGTCAGCTCCCACGGCTGGCCTGGAAGGCAGACAACACACATCACCACCTGTACTTCTTTAGAAATAAGCATTTCAGCACAAAGCAGAGAGAGGAATGCGAAAGCAGTTTACACAGACACTGACAGAATATCCCAACCCCCATGGCAGCATACCTGACATACTGCCCTCTCAAAGATAACTCCTCCTGCCCATTCTGGGAGGTCTCCCGGTCATTCCGGGGCTTGTCTGGGAAGTCCCGATGGAACTGACGTAACAGACGAGGGGCCCAAATATCCCCTACTTCCACCCATTCCAGGTGCTGGGGTTCAAAATCTACCCTTTCCACCAGATATAACAATTTTCCATGTTTGAGCTTAGAGTCCAAAATTTTAGAGATCTTGTAATGTTCCTCGCCCTCAGTCACGATCGGAGGGGACACCGGTGCTGCAGGACGCCACTCGCTGGAACCAGAATCCTTTTTTAGGAGGCTGAAATGAAACACAAAATGCAATTTCCTCAAGTTTTTAGGTAAATCGAGCTCTACGGCAACATCATTAATAACTTTTTTCACCTTAAATGGCCCAATGTATTTCCAACCTAATTTTCTGCTCGGCCGTAGCATCTGAATATTTTTTGTGGATACATAAACCGAGTCCCCAGGCTGCAGAGCCCAACCCCTCCACCCTTCTCTTATCAGCCTGAGCGTTATAAGCCTCTTTAGCAGCATTCAACGTTTTACATAGAAGTGGCCATGAGTCACGTAAACATTTGCACCACAGAGCCGCATCCCCCAACCCCATGTCTGCCTCCCCTTCCAAGAATGGGACAGGCGGGCTGTCATAACCGTACAATGCCTTAAACGGGGATATCCCCATGGAAGAGTGACACGTATTATTATAGCAAAATTCAGCTAGAGGCAATAAGTCATTCCAATCATCTTGTTGATAGTTGGTAAAACAACGGAGATATTGTTCTAGAGTTTGATTCACCCGTTCCGTTTGTCCATCAGTATCTGGGTGATAAGCACTGCTGAGGCCCCATTCCACCCCCATCAGCTTCATCAGCTCCCCCCAAAAACGAGAAACAAATTGAGTCCCCCTGTCGGAGATCACCTTGTTGGGGAGCACATGTAAGCGCACCACGTGCATCAGAAACGCCTTTGCGAGTGCCTTGGCAGTAGGCAGCGAGGGAAACGGGATGAAATGTGCTTGTTTAGAAAATAAATCCTCCACCACCCATATGACAGTCATCGATTTACTCGGTGGGAGATCAGTTATAAAATCCATGGATATAACCTCCCAAGGGCGGCTCGGAGTAGGAAGCGGGTGTAGCAGTCCCGGGGGCTTCCCTGGCCTGGCTTTGCTCATGTCACATATCTGGCAGGATTGGACATACGAAGATAAATCCTTCCGCATCTTTGGCCACCAAAATTGTCGGTTCAAAAGTTGAAGCGATTTAACAAATCCAGGGTGTCCTGACAGTTTGGAGCCATGCACTGCTTGCAATACCTCCCCCCTGAATGCTAGGGGGACGAATAGTTTCTGTTCCCGGTACCAACAACCAACTTCCCTCATTTCAAAACCATCCTCTGCTTGTAGAACCGCTTTGTCGCCCTCCGAGAAGGCGGAGGCAAACTTACTGCGCCGAGTTTCCACCCCCCCCCCCCCCCTTGGGTAGGGGGGGGGGGGGGGGGGCG